CCATCCCAAAAACACACCCTGGCACGATCCTCCGTCTCTCCACAACCTGCCCAACACCGCACTGCAACACGCAGGACGGCGGCAACGCCGATGCTTCGGAAGTGCACACGTGGCATTCGCGTGGACGTAGGACATGTGTGGCCCGACGGCATTAGGATCGCTCGCGAATCACTTTAGCATCTCCAGAAGGGCGTTGCACATCATGAAGTTCGCCTGGTCGGCCTTCACGTAGTGTTCCTTCTGCACTTCTAGCTCTCGCTCCAGAATGTCGCATTGCCTCGTCAGAATTGAGCACTGCCTCTTGCTCGCACTGTCCACCGTCGTCGCCATCAGATTCCCGTGGTCCTTCATCAGGCTTCATGACGTCCGCAATCGTGTCGAAGGTCTGTTGTCTTACATTCTTCCGTTTGCCGCCCCCGCCACCACCAACGCCGCTGAACGTTGAATCCCTCGTCGATCCCTGATCGTCGTCCTGTCCATCCCCGCATTCCTTGCTACCGCCGGATTCATTCCGACCTCCACGTGGACAAGGCATTTGAACACCCCCGGCCACACCCGTGTCTGCGAGATTCGTGGGGTGTATAGTGTGATCGCCCCTGGACATGGCCTTCATCTCCGAATACACACGGTCATCCATTCGAAAATCAAACCCCCGCTCCTTCCTCTCCCCCAGCGTCAGTGTGAAGAAATTTGGCTTCCCCGATTCTCCCATGAACTTGTGCACTGTTTTGAACTGCTGGTACAGGTTGTCCCATTTTTTCCCCGCAGTCCTCGACCTTTCTACTCGTCACCCCCATCTGCACGAGCCTCTTCTCGACGTCGTCCCACTTCCATGTCTTCGTCTTCATCCTTCCGCTGTTGTGGCCGAGGCCGGCCAGATGCAAGTCCCGGTCTCTTTTAGCTCGGATAAGAGCAATCATGTGCTCCACCGTCCAAAAATCCCTGCTTTTTGCTACCTCGCCTGTCGACGTATCTCCCGCACCCTTCTTGCCTCTCCGCCCCGCGCGCGGTTCTGTAGACTTGCTTGTGACCCTTGGGCCTTGACCCTCCCCGCTTCCTCCCTATCGGACGAATCTTCATCTCCCCGTCGTCGTCCTCATTGTTGTCATTGCTCCCGTCGCGTGCAGCGTAATCTTCGCCCCCTGCACCATCGCAATTGCCGAATCCATCGCCCGCCCTCACATTAATGTTCGCCACCCCTCTCGTTATGGCGGACGTGCTCGATTGACGCGATTGTCGCCGATGATCATCCCAAACCTTTCGTCCCACGACCTCCGCAGCGGAGCCCTCACCGTCGTCCCCTCGTCCGTCGATTCTACCGGCTGGCGTCGTCGATCCACCTGTCCTCGTTCTCGACGCGGCCACACCTGCTGTGCCCACTGCCCCCCGCCTTCGCGAAAGGACTCCACGTTCGTCGCCCGACTGACCAGAACACCAGCCGCGGGTATCAGGAAGGCCCAACGGCCCCACGAAAGGCGGTGCGTGGTTGGTGCCTAAAGCTGGGTTCACGAGAACGGTGTGTGTGACGTCCTCTACACTCCCAGATCTCAAGCCGAAGCTGAGATCTACGAGTCCTGCGTCATAACCAACCGGGGTCCGCCCCTCCAGCAGATCAGTGTATGTCGGCGTCGATGACTGTCTGTACAGCTGGCTCCCCATCCAATCCTGCATCGAACCGCTTCCCAGAGGAACCGTTGAGGATCGGGTGTCGTCGCCGTCGTCGTCACTCAGAGGCAACGGAATCTCGTAGGACGGCAGGTGGCTGTACAGAGTTGGGTCGTACGGCCGCCTGCCGCCTTCCGCAGTGCTGCAATGCTGACGTGACGACCCCCAGCTCCTACGGACAGCGTGGTCTTCGTCTGTGGTTTCTCCATCTTCCTGCCCGTTTTCAGCGTTCGCCGCGTCTGTTTCCTCCCAAGGATGCGACCAAGGATGCAGATATGGAAGACGACAACGGCAAAAAGCAGCACAGCGACGAGCAGCAGCAAAGGCAGCCTGCGGTACAAGTCAGCCATGAACGACAGGCCAGCCCAGACAGAACACGCGCTGTCGCGATCGCGGCGACCGGAGACACACGTTGCGAGAGGGAAGATGCCAACGTACGAAATTGCTGCAAGCACCGGCTGGGGGAGGACGCTTAAAAAATCCGTAATTTCGACCGTTGGGAAGCCGGCGGGAACGCCACGACCCCTCCAGGACCCGGCCGAAGACGTCCGATGCTAACCACGGCACCAGCGTGGGGGCCCCCGACGAACCGACAGGGCCGTACCGCCAATCACCGCCAACGGTAAAACGACGAGGCCGTTGGTGGACGTTTTGGACGAGGACGGCCCGCGATGTCCGTCTTCCGGCCGGTGGACCACCACTGGACCACCTTCGACCTCCATTTTCCCTTCTGGACTCGCCGCCAACACCCCGATAATCGCGGATCCTCGGGCTCCAAAGGACCTCGCGAGGTCCTTTGGAGCCGAGGACGATTTGCCTGGGAAATCCTCGGAGCCCAAGGATTTGTCCTCGGAGTGTTTTCACATTTCTGTTCCGAAAATCGGCTCCGAGGACAGGTGGAACGACGACGGAATCGCGTCCCCAAGGAGTGTCGAACAACGCCCTATGTTAATGTCAATTGAGTTAATGTTATTTGCTGTCAATTTGAACTTTTTTCCCACGCAAAGCCACGAGCTATCATGTCCAAATTTGTTTTTTTTTCATTTTTCGACGCATCTCATTGGACAGGAGGTGGGGATCTTTACAGTCCCTGCTTGGAAACTACCAGGCCGTTGAGATCCGATGTATTCGACGGTCGTACTTCGTCACTCCAGGCCACACGTGATCGAAATCCTGAACGGAGTGGTAGAATACTTCGCTAGTGGGTCCAGGCCCCTGCCCAATCAAGGATGACACACATAAATCCGGAACTGGTCCAAAAATTTTAATAGACTCTGAAAGAGCAATTTTTTTTTTTTTTTTTTTTTTTTTTTAAAGCCCTCTTGTGAGGCCTCTATCCCAGTGGCGGTAAGAGAGCCACCGGGAAGAGCAAACATTATCTGGAGTCTGGACAAAGAAAAGGGAAAGTAAACAGTGCTAAACACTCGAAAAGTTCCAGGAAGAAGCCCTTTGGGACATCTGCTAAAATTGGAACAATACAGAGAAGATTAGCAGGGCTCCTGTGAACGATGACAAGTACAAATTGAGAAGTGGTCCCAAAAAAAAAAAAAGGGGGCCTGCAGGCCTAGCTTAGTTAGGCACACGAGTTGCATGCAGGAGATCATGAGTTCAATCCCATTGGCCTCACGTACGTGCCTGGGCATGCTTGGTGTCCTACCATCCAGAGATAGCCCATTGACCCCCAAGGCCAGCATTTGCAGGACCTTGGCCGAATATTTTTGGGTGCTATGCAACAATGATATTGGCTATTAGACACCGCTAATACGGGGAAGAGCGGGGGGGGGGTGTGGAAGGGGAGGCGCAGCGACTGGCCATAGTGCTCGGCACTAGCACTGCCGGTTTCCCCCATCACTAATGCCTGCCCACTCCGCATCACCGTGATGAGGGGCTGGTACAGCCTTGCTCTCGCACCGCGGCTCTGATGCAAACCTACCCCCGGGGCTGGGGAGAGAGGATGAGATAGACGAGGAAAATACAGAGATAGACATTGAGAGAAGAATATAGAAAAAGGGGAAAAAAATCCAGGAAGAAACAGAGAAGCAATCAGTACATACTACATAGTCAGCTAAGTCAAGTAATTGATCCCATTTAGCCAAGAGTACCTTTTTCCCCTCCCCTCTTACTGTATGTTAGAGGTGGAGATTTCATTCTGGACTCTGGACAGAATAATAGCCATTCCCCCATGTCTTCCTGCGCAGCAAATGTTGCCGTCATGTTCTCCAAATCGGGCGAACCGCAGCCACAACTGAATGACTACATACCCTGGCTGTTAAACCACCAGTACCAGTACACCCGGGGCTGGAGGCGTTGCACTGCATGCCAAGCTTTTCCGGACAGCCAGCAGCACATTTTTTTTCCTTTTTGGCTGGTGCCGCCAGCCAATGCGGTCCGGCACGCCGGGGCCGCAAAATTTCTGGAGTAGGCGGTGAATGAATTTCTGCAACACTCTGACCGTGCACTCGTGGTTTAAACGTGAAATATGTGGGGCCGGATATGCCGAGAATCCCAAGATCAAGAAAAGGAGAATAGGGGCAGGAGGAACAGGACGAGAGTGACATGGTCGCTACTGTTCGCTGGACGTCATTTGAGAAAGAAAGGCAATCCATCTGATGCATTGCGAAAGAAAGAAGATGCAGAGGATGGATGGACATGATGATCATCCTCATCAGATTCACCAGCAATAGAGTAACAGTAAATAGGAGTCTAAACGACAGGTCAAAAAGAAAAGAAAAAAACAAACTCCACTATGACAACACCGTCGAAAGAATGGATGGACATTATGCACCAGGGCCTACTTGCACCACTGGCCATCTGCCAACATTTTTGAATGCATATGGACGCGCACCTGTCCAGATGCATTCAAAATTTTGGCGGATGGTGAGGAATGCAACTAGGCCATCAGTCTGACGACCAGCAATTACATGTATCATTGCATTGGATCCCAAAATCTCAAAAACTGATCTACAATAGTAAATGGGCCTCCGTCAGCCGTTCAATGTGCTTCCTCGCACTTGGCATCCACGTATGGATGATGACACTAACCACTCTCTCCACAGCCTGTGCACAGCTCCGGGCCAGAGTACCACCAGAAACTTGACAGGAACTCGTTGCTGGCAGGAATCGTGCACAGGCTATCATGGGACGGAAATCAGGGTCAATAGGACAGCATTCACCAGGATAAAACAAACAAAAGTGGTTGTCAGACACACCGACACAGAGACACACACACACACACACACACACAC